GGGGGAGCGCGGGTCTCGCCGCTGCCCCGGGCACGGCCCCACGCCGCCGCCTCGGGCGGCTGGGGAGAGTTGGAGGGTGCCCCGGGGCCACCCGGGAAAAGTCGGTGGCCCGAGGTGCGTGGTTTGCTTTCGTGATCCCGGCCGGAGGACGGGGGGACCCCGGCTGCCGAGGGGAGCCCGGCAGCGGGCGGAGGTGCGGGAGGCTGGTGGCGTTATGGTTAACACGCGTCTATTCTTCTGTGCGCGGAGCCGGCAGCCTCCTAGGTCCCCACAGGACCTTATCTGACATCGGAGGTTTCTCCTCTCGTCCTAGCCCACCGGTGATTTACAGCGGGTGGCATTCAGCCCGGTTTTCCTGTGCACTTTTCCTCCCAAAACTCTGCCGTTGAGGCTGTAACCGAAATAAAAGGCGGTTCGTGATTTTGTGCGCAACGATGTTCCGTTAAAAGATGTCACTTAGGCATCCAGCATCTTCAGAATATCCCAGTAGGGTTTTTGGTTGGTTCGTTTATTTTTGTCTGAAATTCGGAGGTCTGGGGGGAAAACAGCAGAAAAAGAGTGAGCTTTTTAAACTTCATGCAGTGTTTGTCATGTGAAATCTTCAGCTGTTGAGAAACAATTCTGAGTAACCAGATGGGCTTGTTTTAAATGGGCATCTTTTTGTCTCAAAGACGCCTGCAAATCTCCATTGAGAACACTCCTGGATGAGGTACGTACTAAGCCTTTGGCAGGAGAGAGCTCGTTACTGTGATTTCAGTTTGATTAAGTAAAATGGTGTCAGAAGATGAAGTCCATAGTTTTCCTTCTTTCTCTAAAATTGTCATCAGTGTTGTTTTCTGCATGGCAGCAAATGATCATACTAACAGTTTCGGCATATGTTTTCTTCTTTCAGAAGATAAAGGGACATACATAACATAGAGCCAGATAGCAAAATACTCCTTTTTGAGTATCTACAAGTTTTTTAAATAAAAACGTAGTGTGTCTTTTTTAACCTGTTATAGGTGTAGTAATGTTTCTTTTTTTTTTTTCCTTAGATGTATCACCTTGTTTTCATTGTTATTGTTCACCTTTTCTTAAAGGAATATAGCATTCTCTGCTGGGGGTGGCATTGCTGTTCACATGTACCAAGATCATGCGAAGGATCAGAGTGACATTTAATGTGATATTTAATAACAAAATGTGCAACATTGCAAAAATTACTTGGGCGTGCTTAATTCGTTTTGGTTTACACCCCGTATCAACTGCCAGCGCGGGTCTTCCCTTCTCAAGAAAGGAAAAAAACCTTGTGAATACAGTAGGAATATTTATTATGCAGGCAGAGTTTATTAAATCAGCTGTAAAAGAAATGAACGTAACATCTTTAAAGAGTTTAGAAGATGAATGTGTAATGCCTGATTTGCTTGAGGTTAAAATTAGTTTTGTAGCAACCAGGAACAGCTTTGCTTTATTATCCATTGGTCTTTGGAATGAGAGGCAGAACCATCTGAATAAAAACATTTTAAAGCAGAATTGATAAAAGCAATAATTGTTTGACAGAGCCAGCAGGCATCTATTGGGGGGGGGGGGGGGGGGGGGCGGGGGGAAGTTGGCTAGGTAAAGAAATAGACTATGTGCTGTGAATTTACCTCATCGACCATTCGATAACACCTAAACCCACAGTAATCAAACCAAAATACCTACAAAACTCAAGGTGAAGGTGGAAGCAGGTTACAGTATCGTGTGGATGAGCCGGTGGGCGCCTTTGATCCTGGCCGTTGTTCTTTGGTGAATTGTGTTAGCTCAGTTGCATAAAGGACCCCATTAAGGGCTTTCATGCTCTGCTGAAGGTATGGCAGGTCTTAGCCAATGCAAGCCTTTCTTTTCCTTTCTCTGTTCACAGGTTTCTGATTGGGCAACAGAAGTTTAGAAATGAAATAACTTGGGTTTTTTAGTCATTTCTGGCTTTCAGCCTTTAATGTGGCCATCCCAAAGTGCTTGCAGACTGTCATCCCTCTGGGATTTTTGGTGCTGAAAGTGTTACACACTAGGGAGGGAGAGCTGGGATGGCTTTCATTTCTATTGAGCAGAGGTAGGTGAGGAGATTAAGAGGCAAGGCAGAACCCAAACCCATATATTCACTTAGTGTTGCCCAATAATTTTACAAATACATTGCCGTTCCTGGTTCTGCAGGTCCCATGCACCGTCTTCCACTCATCTAGTTTCTCTACTTCTGCACATTTTAAGAGATATTACTGTAACTTCTCCAATGCAAACTTTGTGACCTCTCTCTAGTCGTGCAGTCGGCTATCTAGGCATCCGCAGAATTCATTTTTCTGATTGGTCTTCATTTCTTTGCAGATGTCTATATTGGCTTTATCTGAGTCTCCTCCTGAAAGAGTAAATTATTTTAGATAACGTTTCTCTGCAATTTCCCAAATAGTTTAGGCTATGTAAAATGATGAATGTTCTACAAAACCACTCATCAACCATTTAAGTGAGGATTTGGAGATTTTTCTCTTCTCTAGCAGCAAATTCACACAGTCTGCTGCTGATTTAAAATATGTACTGCGGGCGACCCTAACACTGGGATTTGGCCAAGTTCAAAGCAGCTGTGCAGATGGACACAGAAGACAGAAGGCAGAGGGAAATAGACCCTTTTAATCATAACAAGGCTGCTCTTGTTTTCCTATCTATAGTAGAAATGCATGCCAGCCCCTTGTACTTAAAAGCAAGCTTGCAAATGTGCCAGAATAGACAGCAACAGCATTTGTTATTAATGCAAAGTTAAAAATGTGACAACCTGTATTCTCAGTACTGCTCTTTACGTCTCCATTTCTAGACTGATGCTGTACTGCTGCAAAAAGTGCACATCCGATCGCTGTCGGTGGGATAAGAATTTCCCCCCCAGAACTCAGGCTCTTTGAAAGTGCGTGGCTTTGTTAATGAGAGCTGAAACCAGCCACGACCTGTCCTTTTGAAATGGTTATAATGACTTATAAATCAATTTCTCGTTAGAAAGAACTTTTTTTTTCCCCTTTTTCCCGAAGGTGCCATTGTTGCCCATGAAAAATGATTGGGTTTGCAACATAAGGTTGGAGCACATTTTATTCTGCCGTTTGTGCCTCATGCAGGGGGATTATGGTGATGCACACACCAAGCTCGGTTCTGCCTCTTTTCAATAGGAACATCCTTTTTTGATCAAGCTACCAATATCCAAATGACAGATAAAATAGGTATTTCACTACTGTGTGTGTTAATATAATGTCACTCATTATACTTTGGCTGGACTGTTGGTGAAACTGGATGTTTTATATGTTTCAGATGTTGGCTTGTTTGTGTAGATCAGGTCTAGATGGCATCAAACTGTACCTCATCCTGTGTTAACCTGTTTTATGGCAGTTGTATATTCTTCTTAAGAAAGGCGTGTTTACTCACTGCAAAGTACTGAGCAGGAGCAGTTCCATGGGGAATACTGTCAATTCCCTTTCAGCCCTCGCTGGAGACATTTTCGTATTTCTGCATTTTAGGAACCCTTTCAAAGTTTGTGCTTAGGGGCTTGAGGGGGTCCCACCTTCCCGTTGTGGTGAATATGTGAAACGTGCTCTTAGAAATCATTGTTTTTAGCCAATTCTGCCTCTGCTTAAAACAATACAATACTAGACTCCAGACTATGCGTATGCCTGGAAAATTAGGTGGAATACGTTTGGAGTGTGTATATAGTTACCTCTCTATATATATACACATGCAAAATAATTTTTATAGGATCTCAGTGATAGATGTACTCATTTTAGATTCTTGCTTTTCCCCAGGAAGGCTGTGTATTCAAAAGATACTTAGGAATTCAAAAAGATACTTAGCACTCATCTTGCCTATATTTTTTGTACCTACACTTTTAGCTTGTCTGCTTGTCTTCTGGCTCCGGGAATTTGAGTTTACGCATGACAAACACTACCGCAGCGTTTGTGAGACTTTGCATAGTTGTTCCTGTAGGCATGTGTATGTCTATCTGTAAGCTTATGCATAGAAATATACACACGTGCACACACACACACAAAAATAAAAAGTCGTAACTCATCCCTCAGTATCTTTTAACTATTTTTCCAAACCTGATGTAATACTGGTTGGAGTCTCTCTGCAATATGTTGTTCTGGCTACTTGGATATCAGATACTACTGTAATTCTTTCTCACTTCTCCTCTTCTCTCCCTCTCTCGTTCTTTTAAAAGAGAAAAGCATCTGCATATTTCAAAGACATGCACCATTGCCAAGCAATCTGGTGTAGTGGCTTAATATGCTGGCAAATAATTTCACAAGTTGTTTGTGTGTGTGAAGGCAGTATATTTGAATATCATTATATTCTGAATGTAGCTATGAAGAGAGTTATCTGAGCTTATTTAAATTTTATGAAAGGCCAGACAGCTCCAGAAATGAAAGAATGTTTTACATTTTTTAATTGGAGTGCATATATTTGTCCTTTGCTAATGCTGATAGTGTGGGACATCGCATTTACCGAAAGCCTTTCTGTCCTAGCTTCTGAGCACTGCCAATACTTGGTGGCCTAATAACAATTTTCGGGAGAAGCAGACTCCTGAGGACGGAGGTGGAAGGGATGTTGCTTTGCAATGCGTTGCTGACCCTCTGTGCACTAACTTTCTGTCATCGCCTGTAAGCCCCTCTTCACTTTTCCCATTTTGGTGCGTTTATCCACTGTATGGGTCACTCAGTGGCTCCATTTGTGCTCTCCGTCTTCCCTTCCACCTCTGGACAGTCGCATCCTGTACTTCATTTTCCTTAAGCAGTTTGATTTTTATTGATGTCCCTGGCCAGATTTGCTCAGCTGATCTCTCCTGAGTGTCCCCAGCTCGGTCCCATGTGTCAGTGTGTACAGCGCTGTCCTTTTCTGTGACCTTAGCGAGGATGGCTTCTCAGAGCCCTTTGCGTCTTCCTTCGCCGTTTGAATACAGGTCAGAAATGGACTTTCAAAAGCGCAAGTCATTGCCTGCAGAGCAGTGGGTCTGTTCTTTCTTTACGGTGAGATCTGAAAATCCCACTAGCTATATCCTTCGGTTTACAGAGGTGTCTGAAGTTTGCGTAGCTCGGAAGAGGAGGGAGGTTTTATCTTGTGAGTTTTCTCCTTCACCTGATCTGCTTTCCCCAAGCCGATCACAAAGACAATTCTTCTCTTTCCCTAAAATCTGCATCCCCTGCCTCCCAGGGGCTCCTTCCACTTGGGTCTTTCTCTCTTAGTTTTCCCTGGTTTGCTCCCGTCTCACCTGGAGACGTCCTATTCCCTGTATGAGGACAGTAGTTACCTCTCCTCTCTCCTCCCAATCCCCTTCACACCAATCACTTAACCCGCATTACCTTTGCTCTCAGCACCTCCTTGCTATCTCACAGTCTTTGATTAAAACTTGCTAGGTCCACAGTTTGTTGTGGGGGGAGGAGGAGGCAGACATGCACTCTGTGCAGTTTATGAGGGTTCTCCCTAGAGCCTGATGGTTTTGCTGCCTTTCTCTCTCTAATCCTTACTCTTTTAATAAAGTTCACTAATATTTTCTGCTGCAACAAATTCTTGACTTTTTTTGTTCTGCTCAGGCCGTTTGGACGCTGTTTTCTTGGAGTGGTTATCTCTTCCCTTCCCCCAATAAATGTGTTTTTCCCCCAGTTTCATCCTCTAAACGTTACATTCTTCTGGGGACCTTTAGCATTCAGCATCCAGTAGAGCCTCAGTCTTTTACGTCCTGTTCTGCTCTTTCAAATTACTTCTCTCCCTTCAGATACACGTTGTGTGAGCCTCAGTCTTTTACGTCCTGCTCTGCTCTTTCAAATGACTTCTCTCCCTTCAGATACACGTTGTGTGCTAAGCTTCTAGGTACTTCCAGGAGACTGAGTGTTCAGCCCCCATCTCTTTTGCACCTGGCTGGGCTTCTCTGTCTCCATTTAACATTTATGTCAATTCTGCTCAGCAGTAATAAGCGCCTGTACCTTTTGGCATTAGAGAACGGCTAGAAAAGGGGCTGGAAATGAAGCAATTTCTGTTGGAATATTGAAATCCAAGATAAACCCTTTTGTGAAAAAGAAAAAGTGTGCGAGTTCAAAATTGACCAGTTTAATGAGTTCTCTTCCATTTTCTTTAAAATGTAAATACCATAACATTGTATCAAACTTTTCGTATTACCTGTTCATTCTGCTTTACTGGGAAATGGGTCCCTAAACTGGAGCTGATTTTAAGCAAATACCAGCTCACTCTTGCTTCACCGTTTCCCTCTCATCTGAGCCTTTCATACTTCAGCAAGCCTCTTCATCCTCTCCCAAAACTATGTCTTTAAATGAAATTAAGATGTATAAAGTAAACTGTGAAAGATGTTAAAATCCCACGTTCATACCGTCTTTTTTGTTGTTTTAAGAAAGCCACCTCCGCCTTCCCTCCTTTCTCCCAAAAGCCAGGCAGACCAGGTAGCTGTAATTTCCCATTAATGTGACTCTGACGGTCCCCTTGCTGGTTTGTGCCTTCAGTACTTGTGTCTTGTCTCCAGCCTGGTAGGAAATGTGTGTGTAGGGGCTTGTATTTCGCAAGCTGAGGGATTTCAAGTGAACTCGGGAGCTTTGGAGGTTTTTCACAGGCAGATGGGGCAACTGTCCCTGCTCTGGCTGGGTGGGATGTGGGAGACACATCCTCGGTTCCCTTAATTCAGAGAAAGGGCTTCAAGCTAAGCCTCTCACCTGCCAGGTGTGCACCCTGGTGCTTTTATTTCCTGATGTTTAGCTCTTGATCCAACGTGGAACAACTCGAGCAGTTTAGAGATGGGCAGCAGAATGGAGGGGTTGCCAGCACGCTCACCTGGCTCGCAGGAGAGCAAAGTCCCGGTCCTTCGCCTGCACCAAACGGAGCAGGACTTCAACCTCGCTTTTGAACCTCTCTGATCTTAGACACACGCGTATGCCCTGGCTGTTTGAGAGAGAAGACACAGCCTCTTCTTCTCTGTGCCTGCAAGTCACCTGTGCTAAAACTGGTACACACATCTCACCAACAAAACTTTGGAGAGAAGAAATGATGTTATTTCTTTTACAAACATTGTTGGTCGCTGATTAACGCTCTGTTTTCCTCATTGTTTTTTGTTCAGATTATCAGCTGATGGATGCTGGGTGGTGTCACGTAGGGGCAGTTTGCCCCCAAATTAGAACAATCCAGCCCCTATCCTGCTAGTGTGCAAACGGTATGTTAATTAACATAAATGACCATGTAGCTGTGGTTTCTTGCTAATTGAGGTTCAACTTGGCAAAGATATCATCATGTTACATAAGAACAAAATTTGGTTCAGTACTTGCATGCCCTAGTTTACCCCACAGCTGATAGTGCCTTGCTGTAACCAGAAGATAGCATCCCTCATTTGCTCCTCTCCTAGTGTCTGTGCTCCTTCACGATCCCTCACACAGAGAGAATTCACTGAAGTGAATGCAAGTTTTCCTGAATTAGGAGTGACAGTGTGTTTGCCATTTATAGCCTAAGAGTAGCACAGTGTTGGAGATGGAGTAGTAAAACAGTAAATAGGATAGGGGTAACATTGCTTTCACATTCTTGTCAACATGTTTTTTTTCTTGCTTGGTGTTACTGAGTCTTAGAGTGCCATTTCTCAGACTGCGCATTTCTTTCTCCAAGGCTTAGAAACCTTGTTCTGTCCTCGAAGCAGTATTGTTCATCGCCATATGGGATAAAGTAATTATTAGCCATATAAATTTTCGTTTTATAGGACAGTTCTAATTCCTGGAGGCCAACAGTTACTATGGTAGATCTCATTCCTCTCACACCTTTTCAGCTGACTACACACGAGTATAAATTACTGCTGTTTCTCCTTCAGTAGTACTTTGTGGACCCAGTTTGGTAGGAGTCCCAGTGTACTGGGCGCTGTGCAAACTTGCTGGAAGATAAAGCCCCCTGAAGGACTTACAAGCCTTACAACATGTAGGCGAGGAGAATGCATTTACATATTTTGTGCATTCAAAAACTATGTTTCGATTATACCTGCTTATCCTTTAGCCTGTTCTTAATTAGCTCTGGGTATCATAGAAGAAATGTATAGACATGGAGATCAAAATATTTTCTAAAATAGAAGCTAGAAAGGTTTGATTGTGGATTTCCCTTTCTAGTTTTGATTCCTTTTCTTGCCACGTCAACATTTTTGCAGATATCAGTAGCATCATTGTATTGCTCATAATTACTTTCCGAGTAAGAACGCAAATATTCACTGTTTCTATTCAGGCTATTAAAATTGCTCTATCAATCATCCTGGTTTGAAAATTATAATAAATTCAGCCCTTTTTTTAGACAATGATAAAAACTTTCCAGCCCTCCCTCTCCCCCAGAACAGCAGGAGAAGGTAGGTAATAGCATTTTAATGAAGTCACGTTCTTGTTCCCTGAGTGAACTGGTCCTGTGGACCGACGAGAAGTCCAGGGGAGGTGTAATTCTCCCTGTTGTCCGAGATGAGTTACCAGCCTTTTATGTATTATATATTTTATATTTTACTTAAGGGGTCTTTATATTCTGATAGCATCCAAGCTTCTTTTAAGGCTGTATGTAACCACACAGTGGAGGGCAGTAGTAAGACTTGCCCCCTCAACTCTTCACTAATTCTTTTCGCTTTGAGGGCAAAGCCTTACAAAGTTGTGTCTTCAACCTTCAGCTGACGTTTAACACCCTATGGGTATTTGAACCCCGGTAAAGCAGGCTGGAAAAAAAGGGCTAGAGGAAGTTAAATCCAGGTCTCTGCAGACAGCTAAGCGGTGTGTTTGTAAGAGCCACTCCATCTAGTGGCAGTCACTTTGCGCAGCTGGTCTGGCAGTGCCCATCAACAGCTGACGGCTGATGGGAGAAAAGTCTAAAATGGTGTTCAGCTATGGGTTTTCTGGGTTTGGTCTCCAAGATAAAAGATACTTGAAATTTTCATCTATTGTGTAATCCTTATCCGTAATCATAATTCATTACTTACTGTGAATTGCTGCATGCAGTCATGGAAATACACCGAAAATTTTGAGTGCCGGCATCAGCACGGGCTCTTCCTCATCTTTAATCAATGTTTCAGTTCTTTTTAAAGCCGTTTTAAAATGAGTGACGTAGTAGAGCTCATTTATGGAATGAGCTGAGAGCTTTGGAGACTCAGAGGCTCTGTTGGAAGACAGGCTTTTGGCAAGGCAGGGAGGCTCTCCCTCGGCAGGGCAAGGGGGCTCTCCCTCACTGCCACCCTGCCGGTGAGGGGACCTCGCTGCAGCACACAGCCGTCACCCCAGCCCCGTCCAGAGAGGAGGGGTCTGTGCAGGGGACCCTTGTCCACTAGGGAGGCTGTGAGAAGGCTCCCAGAGTATTTCGTGTAGAGATGTTAATGGGTCTCGGGCAATATGGGTTTGGGTTGTGTTGAAGCCAGCTGCAAAGAGCAGCGTGGCCACGTGGAGTGCAGTGTCCCGTTCTTGTGGGCAGTACCTCCTCGCAACTCCAGGTTTGGACAGAAGAGCTCAGAGCCAAAATTGGTGTGACACTGGCACGTCCACCTAACCAAACAAAAAGACCAGGAACCAGACCACCGCTCCCACCATCAGCTTTTCAGTCTCTGTCAAATCGTACAACACCTCAGACTGTGACCTGGCCTCTCCTGATAACCTCAGTGCCAAAGGTCCAGTCTTGTTTTCACTAGGCAGCCGTGGAAAATCTCACTGATCGCTTCAGCGCGTTTCAGTATTGTAGCTTATAGCAGGGCAAGCTAGTATCTAAATTAAAATAAACAAAATTCCAGTAAAGTGCAATTCCAGATCAGGCGAATGGCTGTTTTACTGCAACTTTAATAAAAATCAACTGCTACTTGAATAGGTGCATGCACACACACTGCTAGAAATTTCCAATTATGATATTCCCAGCAGCAAACAAAAACAAAATTAATGTCAGCTGCATCCCCCAAAGCCTAAACTACACCACTAATGAACTCCCAAGTACTCTCAAAGAAAACTCTCTTTGCAGAGACAATAAGGTGGAAATTACTGTAATAATCTCAATGTAAAAATACAGAAGGAAAAAAAATCATTGAAATGCAGAGTAAGACTTGCCTCTCCTGATCCCATTAACTACGTTGCTAGCATAGCATATGCATGCATAGTGATACTGTCACATAACTCACTGCCACCTTCAAAAGAGCACGCAGGAATTCGTGTTCTTTCATTTGTATTTCAGACAAAGGTAGGGGTTGCACGGTGGCTTGCACCTTATTCTGAGGAAGTCTGTACTTAACATGACTCCAGCAGGGACCAGCTACCTCATAACAATTTGTTTGTCTGTCTAGTAGAAGTGCTCAGTTGCATACAATTTTTGAAGCTTTATTCAAACATAATCTTCTCGACATGGGGCTCTGGCTTTAATCATTAAAATGGTTGTCTTTTTTCTGTCAGAAATAAGCTGGAGTAACAGAGATACTACAGCCATCTTTACATGTTTATAGAACTACTTGATTTATTTAGTATTTTTTGGGTAGTTTTCAAATGAATAACACATTCTTCACTTCTGGTTTTAAACTGGTGTTACAATGCCAAGTTTCAAGTTGCCAGACTTCACCCAAAGCAAATTTGTCAGTTGTCAGCAGGGTCACCTTTGCAACATGTAACATCTGCAAATTCTACTAGGAACAGCTGTAAAGCACCTTCTGGATGAAAAGTATGTTACGTATTAGATTATTGCTGTTCATTTTTAATGTGTGCTTCAGTGACATTTCCCTCCCTTACTGCGCAAACCCTCAACAGTAAATTCCTTAATATGGTCTGTCTGTCTAATAATTATGTTGTTATTTGCTGAGCAACGATGTCTGCAAAAGCTGACAGAGCAAGTGCCTGTGTTGTGTGTTAGACTATCCTGGTAAGGGTTGTTTATACTCATCCTTGTTTGCAGCACTGGAATTGCAGTGTCTTCTGGAGGTCTAGGTTCCTCTATTTCCTGTAACACTCAATGTCCAGGCCTGCTGAATCAAATGGAAAACTTCAATGAACTATGGAAAAAGTCTTGAGTGTTCAGGTGCCATTTGTAGGTGCAGTATAAATATCTCATCAGCCAAATGATCTCTGCTTCTTTTGGAAACGCTCATGAATTCTTCTGGTTTTAGGTATTGGTATTGTTGTAGAGATGAATCGTTTTCTTCTTTCTTTTAGTTTTCATGGGAAAACTGAGCTGTGGTACCTACTGTGCAAGACTCCTCTTTAGGAGTTGAAGTGATCAGTACTCCAGGTTTTGGCAGATAATCTCTCGTGGCCTTTCTGTCCGTTTGTTGTCAGTTGTGTAAAGCGAACAGGTTAAGTCAGTACAAGCCTATATATGGCATCTGGGATTTCTTGGGTGTCACAAACAATTTCCTCCATTCTAAAAGCATGAAAAAGCTTGGTTTTGCTCCTGTTGCTGATGTAATCATCGAGACGTCCCATAGCAGATGCAGAATAGCTGTAGCACACCGAAGCAATGATTCTGGCTCTTATTTACATTCAGACCACTCTCAGCCACTCTGGCGGTGGAAGGGGGCCCTAAAGCAGATGTTCAATGCATATTCAAGGCATGTTATATGGGCAAAGGAGCACAGCATAATAAGAGCTGTAAGACCTGTCTTACATGTTGATGCATGTAAGATGCTCAGATGCTGATGAGGGTGCTCTCCCAAGGGTACCCTGACTGGGAGTTACACCCTGCAGTTACTCACCATCCACGAGCAAAGGGTGGGCATGATGGGACTCAGAGACCACTGGCTGCCTGGGGACCTTCTGCTGGGCTCCTCATTTCTGAGGGGACAGAATGTTTTTGAGGGTGTCCCCAACAGGACGAGTTACATTTCCATGCTTCTCGCAGGAGCAGTGGCTCCTGGTCTCTTTTGCGTGGAGTTTTGGCCAGAGCTGCACTCTGACCCAAGCTTGGTGCCATGTTTTTCTAGGCAAGCGTGAACTGCTCTGATTGGGGCTTCTGATCCACGCAGAATGGATCACTGATGCACTCAGTGACTTAGCAGCGCTGGTCACTTTTCCTGAAACTGTGGACAGGACTGAGTAACAACCTACCTCCCCCACAGAGTCTTTGGACTTTGGTAATCCCAGTTGCCTTGGTATGCTTAGCAGAAGGAAGGAGTAGAGTAAGGAAGCTATATCCAGATCCCTGTATTTGTAGATGAAACACCTTGCTAATAAATTTGCAATAACAAATTCAGGATGTTAGTAGACCTCAGATTGCTGTAACAGGGTAATGTGAATACACAGGCATACTGGGTGAACTGTGAAGGTTAGAGTGCATGGCTCTTTCCCCGTTCCCTCTCTGTTGTCAGGTTTTCAAAACCCTCAGTGCCTTTTCAAAGAAAATCAATGAAGGTGATGATTCAGTTTAATGCTGCTCCTGCAGTGGCACGTGGTATTATCTAAACGAAGCAAGCCCAAGGAATATTGGTCTGCAAAGTGCTTTGCAATCAGAAGCCAAGTTCAGATCTAGAGAAAAATATCTTTCTGGTGGAGCGGCTCAGAATGTTTTGATGAGAAATGAAAATTACTTTCCTGTGGAATACTCAATTCCCTGCCCCTCCAGTTTTCACGTCACTTCTTAGTGTAATTCAGTTTCAGTGAAATCCAGGTGATTTCTTTCTGAGTGCTTGACTCACCCTGATTCCTGCAGGTGGCAAAGGCTAGACCTGCACTGAATACAAGAGAAAGGTCGATTTTGTTTGACACAGTTCAGCTAAGTTGTTTGTGGAGTTTGTCTCCAATGAGAGAGAGAATCACTTAATGAAGTCTGATCTTTTCCCCTTCTAGGATTTCCTCCGATGCATTTTTCCCTCACCCAAGTCTCTCTGAAACCAACAAGACTGGGGTTATGAAGTCAATCCTAGATGGCCTCGCAGACACAACTTTCCGAACAATCACAACAGATCTCCTTTACGTTGGCTCCAACGATATCCAGTACGAAGACATGAAAGGCGACATGGCATCCAAGCTGGGATACTACCCCCAGAAGTTTCCTCTCTCTTCCTTCAGAGGTGATCCTTTCCAAGAAAAAATGACTGCGGGAGATGATCCCCTGTTAAGCATTATTCCCTCAGATCAGGTCAACATCACAGAGTTTTACAACAAGTCCCTGTCCACGTTTAAGGATAATGAGGAGAACATACAGTGTGGGGAGAACTTCATGGATATGGAGTGCTTCATGATCCTGACTTGTTCAAACTGGGTGGAGTTACAGCCTCCTTCACCGCCTCCGTAGGTAGCCTTTTCCTCACGGCAATAGACCGGTACATATCTATACACAGGCCACTAGCTTACAAAAGGATTGTTACCCGACCAAAGGCTGTCGTAGCGTTTTGTGTGATGTGGACCATCGCTATAGTAATAGCCGTTCTTCCTCTGCTCGGCTGGAACTGCAAAAAGCTCAACTCTGTTTGTTCGGACATATTCCCTCTCATCGACGAGACGTACCTGATGTTCTGGATCGGGGTCACCAGTGTCCTCTTGCTGTTCATTGTCTATGCCTACATGTACATACTGTGGAAGGCTCACAGCCACGCTGTTCGCATGATTCAGCGGGGCACGCAGAAAAGCATAATCATTCAGTCTACGGAGGATGGTAAGGTACAGATCACTAGGCCTGATCAAACTCGTATGGACATCAGGTTAGCCAAAACCTTGGTCCTTATCCTAGTCGTTTTAATCATATGCTGGGGCCCTCTCCTCGCCATCATGGTATACGATGTCTTTGGGAAAATGAACAAGCTCATCAAGACAGTCTTTGCCTTCTGTAGCATGCTCTGTTTGCTGAATTCAACAGTGAATCCCATCATCTACGCTCTGAGGAGCAAGGACTTGCGACACGCCTTCCGCAGCATGTTCCCCACCTGCGAAGGAACCGCGCAGCCCCTCGATAACAGCATGGAGTCTGACTGCCAGCACAAACACGCCAACAACGCGGGGAACGTGCACAGGGCTGCCGAGAGCTGCATTAAGAGCACAGTTAAGATTGCCAAAGTTACCATGTCTGTCTCCACAGACACGACTGCTGAAGCGTTGTAAGTCAGAGACTTCTCAGCGTTGTGAGAAAAGGAGTCAGTTTAAAAAAAAAAAAAAATTCAACAACAGAGAAAACCAAACCCGTGGCTTAACGTGTTTGTACCCTCCTGTAATACTTTTTTGGTTTGTCGTTGTAAGCTGAGCGATGATTGTGTTACGAGCATTACCATCAGCCAGTTCTTCAGGCTTTACAATTAGGGATTCGAGCTAAATTTTCAAAAGTTTTTTTCTCAAAAAGTGTTTACTGAATAATAGTAAGTTTCCTGAAAGAGCACAGAGAAAATAGCAACGGTTCCTTTTGGGAGTGTGAAGAAAAATTGTGAAACCTAATTGAAAACTAATGCATCCTAAACCAATACCATCAAATAAGAAAAAAAGCCTTGTAATCATGCTGTTCATTTCAATGTGCAGTGTATTTCATGTCTGTAAGTAATAGGAGTTTTCGATTTTTTTCCAAAAGCGGCAGTGCTGAGTTTTAGAGGTTTTGTAAAACGTGTCGTGTCCCGTGAATTGTATGCTGTTTTATTATGTGTTATTGATATTTGTCTGATTAAACAAAGTGATAAGGTAGACTTCCGTGGAAATAACGTGAAACGTGATATGTAAACCCCACTGAAAACACATACTGTATTTGAAGAATTCCTATGAGCTATTTTGGAAATTTTACACTTCTAGTGGTATTCTGTGGACTTAGAGGAGAGGCTTTGTGTTCTTCTACTAAAATTATTTCCCCACTACCTTTTACTTTCACATGCATACGAGAGTAACAGCAACAAAGGAATAGAGGAGGAATGTAAGAGAGGAATGCACTGGTTCAGACTTTTAAATACCACTGCGTTTATACAGAAGGACGTTTATGGTTGTACAGACGATCGCCCTGCTCTTGGGCGTTGCATGAATACGAACACTGAAAGGCGAAGGTCGCAGATATTGGCTCCTTTAACGGGCTACTGGTTTTAAGCCACGCGCTGGTGCTGGACCACTGAAGACAGCATGTGTCAGACTCAATGTGCGATGTTATCACTGTGCATTTGATGTATACTTGAAGTGTGTCGCATTCCTGTATCCCAGGTTTAAGCAGATTCAGAGCCTGAGATGCCAAACTCCCATCTTCACTAAAAGAGGAGGAAATATTGTCAGACTTAGACATTTTCTTATTGTGTGAGCGTGTATATAAATAAATATCTATGTGTGTGTACGTGTGTGTGTGTGTAAGTATACTAATCGGTGTGAGTCATGGTAGCATAACTAAGATAGGTCACTATGACCAAATGTAAACTGTATTTCTTGTTGCACGCTTTGCACACGAATTCTGTTTCTAAAATTGAGTTCTTCCAACTGATTACTGATGAAAGTACCATATTAAGAACATCCCGATCCACTCTGAGAGGTGTATCCATGTGCTAGAGAAAGCAACCTTTCAATTGTACTTGAGAATGAGGGGAAACAAGAGGCAGAGCATGGCATGAGCCCGCACTGACAACTGCAGTGGCTGTCGATGGTGTTCCTGAAAACTAAGAAAGCCAGAAATAAATGATAATTTGTTTTAAGACCGTCAGTATTTAAATCTGATTGCTTGCAATGAGGAGAGTCTCACTGTGAAATCAGGATACAGATGACAAGGTTTGACACCATCAGCTTCGAGGAAGGTGAAGTTATTGAAGGAAAATGGCACCTCTGTTCCCTGGTGGGATTGTTTCTGCGGCCTGGGACTTTCACAAGGAGCATGTTACCAGCTAGTCTTTGAGGCATGGATATTCTGTAATTCCGTTCTGAATCAGAAGGTACGGGGTCCTCTTCTCTGCTGCCTTGCTTTTTTGGACCGTTTCCTCACCCTTCTGGCTGATTTCTGCCAAAATAGCTGCAAAGGCAGCTTAGCCCGTTAGCTCCCTGACGCTTGCCGCAGGAGGGGTGACTCCCTCCGTGGCACTGGGTGAGTGGAGCCAAATCCATGCTGCCCTGCCGCCCGTCCTCGGGGTTATGTAGGGAAAGAACAGGGCGGCAGCCCTGGGGTCTCTGGCTGCCATGGTGTCCCCATGGTGTTTCTGATACCTCGGTGCAGGCCAGAGCAGCCGGTAGCACAAACGGCCCAGCTGATTTCAGCCAGTGGCTCTGCGGGGGCGTAAGTGGCTCCAAGTTCAGGCTTGGTGAGGGGTGGCACGTTTTAAAGAGCTCATCAGGCGAGGTGCTGAGCAGCGGCTGGAAGACACAGGGGTACTTTCCTCCTCCACCCCTCTCCTGCAGCTTACTTGGGTGGTAGGACAGGGCACCATGCTCTCAAGGGGGCCACGGCAGTCGGCCGAAACCGGCGGATTGCAGAGGATTCCTGGAGGACATGCAAGTCCTCCTTCTGAAAGATCTTTCTCATCTCTAGGTGTAGCCCATCCTAAAGCAGTCCTCTTGGAGGAGGCGGGGGGAAAGCCCATTTGAAATATAAAGGTATTTTAAGAGCCATTTTTGAAACTGTCTTCTTGTGAATTAAATGCAAACTTCGTGGACTTTCATTGTGCATTCAAGTTCTAAATTTTACATGATAAATCATGGGACAATGGGGCTGTCTTGGCACTTAACTTGGTGCTTACTGATATAATAAGAAATAGCATCCTGTGAAACGTTACCGTCTATCATCACTATCTTCGTTTGCATAATGAGTTTTTCTAAAGCTCTGGGAACTGTGTCGGTTCACTTAGAACCATTTATTAAAGAGGTGGCAACAATTTCCCTACACGTTGCGCACTAAGTAGAACTACTCTTTCATTAGAAAAATCTGCTGCCGTTCCAAGATAAGCTGTACTTAAACTTCAGCTTTAGGTATTCCTAATTTGCAGTTGCCTACCTTCACTTAGCGATAGCACAGCCAAACGATACTGTGTTCCACGGCCACCCACACCGTCATCAACAACCAACGATAGTTGCAGTTACATATACGTACCAACTCCAAGTGTCGCGTATCTACCGAGAAAGCCATCTATGTCACATGCGTGCAGAGTTAGATTCTCAACAGTCTAATTGTATATTTGTATAATATAATCTCCTTGATGCTGTGCAATCACTATCCACATCTTCTTGCACTGGCCTTTTGATGAAAATTTTAGTGTGTCTATTGTGAGATAGGCAGCGCATTTTACCTGCTGTTATTGGGCTGAATGTATGTAAATAAGTGAAAAATAAAAAAAGTCATCTGTACAAGCAGTGGCCTAAAAAGTCTGTAATTGTAGACTAGGACAATTGTTGAAGTTGCTGTGACATCTCAAATACTACCTTTGAATACACTTGTTTACAGGGTCTCTTGGGATGCTGTTTCATAGCGAAAGGAAAATCTTTCCTTGTGATAATACGAGGTAAAGAAATTGGATTACCTGAGCTTTTTATTTTCAGTGTTTCAAAGTGAAGAACATAACTCTTTATTGTCTGTAAATCTAACATTATTACTTCCTCTTAGAAGAATATTGTATCATTAGATGTTTGTTTGAGCTGGTAACATCCTTGCAACTGCTGCAATATTTTTCATTAGCAACCTGTATAATAGTTTGTACACAAGTACTGTTCAGATTGTCATGAAAAGTAGCTTTGACCATTTATCTACCAGTAGCAGAATAGTATTTCTGTAAGATTTCCAGTGTATTCCTACCATATCATATTTTATTTCTATAATGTAATTAAACTGTTATTTATTCAAGGAGAAAAAGTATTCCTCTACTTTTTTTGTTTTCCAAATTTTGAGATAACTGAGGAAGCCACGTGATGATGCTGCCTCATCCCACAATCTGGTGCTCTACGTTTTGTTTATAAGTTTGTCTGTCAGATTCTGAAACAACTGCTTAAACAACTTGACAACAGGTTGTCAAGCTTTGTGGGTTTTAATTGTACGTTGATATGTTTGAAGGAGGAGGTAGATTATATATTTTATATTTGTGTATTCAGTACTATGGAGATGAGAGAAATGACATAGTTAAAACTGAATCTCCTGTTTCATTATGTAGGTAATTTCCCCTTTCCTCTGTATTAGCCAAAATGCAATAAATCTCTTTTGCCTTCCTCAGATGTATATGTTTGCACAGAGATGTCACATTAAGACAAACCCATATACTTCAGAAAAATGAAACACAGAAGAGCAGAAGAAAGGAATACAAACTAAAATAGTGCTGCCAACAACGATGACGACCTAAACTAGTTATTGGTGGTTGTAAATGTGTTGTGGTTTAACCTCAGTCGGCAACTGAGGTTAATCAAAGACGTGAGAGAAACAAAAAGTTAGTTTAGTTTTGGCCAATGCTAGTGGGGACAGAGTTGGGGGGGGGAGGGGGGGGGGGATGGAGGTCCAACCGGGATGCAAAAAAGCTGTGCAGGGAGAGCAAGCTCAGCCATGCCACTGCCTACGGGGCACACTAAAGTGCCCCACCGCTGCTCATCCGCAACTGAAATGAAGGGTTGAAAAAACACTTATAATCTCTTTGTGGTCCCACATGCCTGATCCAAAGCCCACTAAATGCTGTAGGAAGGTCCCTGCCCATTTCAAAGGACCAGTTTTTCATATGACTTAACCTCAGACTCATGTTACTTGGGCAATTTTCCTTCTCCACATTTGTGGTTTGAAAACAGCGGAGGTCCTTAGGGGATGAAGTGAGCATGTCCTGGGGCCTTGGATCATGGTTGTGCCACAGCATTTGTATTTTTAAAAATTAGGTCACTGATGAATTGAGAAAGTCTTGGCAAAAAAAGCGCAGCTAGAAATGAGAGATTAGCTCTTAATCTTTAGCTGCATACCACATTTAAATGAAGAAGTCTGAATATTTCTGCTGAAAGCTGTCACTTCCAAAGCAGCCAGGAGACAATTCCCACTGTATTCGCATGTTCACTAGAAAATACGGGCTATACTGCCACAAACCGACAGTTCCTTTTGATGGTAAAACACCTGAGTCTATTCTAAACAACAGGAAATAATGACAACTTTCCAAGCAACTGCTTTCCCACACTATACCAGCTCAGGAAGTGTGCGGGCA